TAAACTTCACTTTCACGCCGACTCAGAAGATACACTTTATTTCGTCTAGTAATGAACTATGTGTATTTATCTTGTTGGTTTATTGGGATGGTTGTTTAACATGTAAAGAAAAGTTGATGTGAGTAGTTTTATACGAAGTAGAAAAGTCTACAGCTCAGGTGGGCTGCATATTACCTGCATCGTTCACTCGGCCAGGTATGGTTTTAACTCACCTTTATGGGCAGTTGCCTCAGCTACTGTGAAACCTATCCACCCCACCAGCCCGTGAGTGGGGACGTATAAATATTTAGTTGATATTTCTTAGTTTGATCAGTGAAGTGTACTACGCCAGTACCAAGGAGAAAAATAAATTTGCTTATGTTCTCGCCACAGATAAAATATATAGCTACTGTTGTTCGTCTGTCCTTACTCAGTCGTTTCCAGTCACTATCTATAAAACTTCCTGGAATGAATATAAGCTAAGTTTTGATAATCGGTTTTTACCAACTTATTCGGATTTTTGCCCCTGCTTGATTTTAGAATTTTAGCGGAGGTAAACCATACCTTAGTGTTAGTGTAATTGACATTTAATTGTGTAGGGGAATGATGTAATATTTGGGTGAGGTAGACGCTGAGGGTACCAGGCGTGGGGTTACTCTCAAGTTTCCTGTCTGCTCGTTGTATATTACAATATATTTATGTACCACAATTAACGAGTGCTGTCAATAATGACCTAGGTAGTGTTCGGCCACTCTAGTTCTTTCCGCGAGGAAACGAAATTTCACAGGGATTGGGCTGACTAACTCGGTTGGAAACCTACTGCCATGTTGCCCCTGACTGTGAGACACAGTTATGAAGGGCGACAAGACGTGTTGTTTGAATTACTTTTGATGGAACTAGATAGGAATATTTTACACAAGAGCTCTGTTGAGATGCATTTGTGTTTTGTGACCTTTTATGTGACGAATCAAGGAGAGTTGAGTCATATGAACGTGTCAGATACCGACCCTCTACCCTTCTAAAGTATTACCCTACATTTTGCTTGATTATTTGAAGGTGATCACAGTGAGTATTAGATCTAAATGTCAGTAAGAGGATCGTCCAATCACACCGGGTGTTGGTTTAGTTTATAATTCATACAATTGATGGCGCTGATACAAAGAAATCAATTGAAATACATTAATGAAAACCTGGCGAAAAAGTGAATGATTGGTTGTCGTCTCTCCAGGGTTACTGTACAGGTTGAGTGATACACGATATGGTTAACACGTGAATTTTCAGGGCACATTCTGTATACAGTTATTGTGATACCTCTTATGTGTTCTTCCTAGAGTCATACTTCAGAGTCAGAAGACAAGGCCGTTAAATAAGCCTCGAGACTGAAGTACTACTGGTCGCTGCTTTTACTACAGAAAATATTCTTTGTAAATGGAAGTTTGAAGTGTACATGAAGTGTAGTGGAGAGTGGGGACGAAGCGTGAAAGGAAGAGTCTAAAGAGTTGGTTTATGGGTGGCCAAGAGTCCCGCAGCGGTCACATGTGGAACAGCTGAAAAGTTGGTCTTGTCATTAAGTTATGCTCAACAACGGTGGCAGCGCGGTAGCCAAATTTAGTGGCCGCCATGTGCCGTGCTGCAGGTTGCCAGTGGAAAGGGGGATAGGTTCTTTGTGTGTGTGGAAAGAGGGGTTGGGGGGAGTTTCCTGATGGAGGAGTGGGTGGCGTGAGGGTGGAGGTGCGAGGTGTTGGGTACACTGGAAGCTGTCACAGTTGCCGCAGCGGGTCATCTGCCCAGTAATTTAGCAGCAACCATCGCATGCAGTGAGATTGATCGTCTTCCAGGAATTACAATATAGTGATTTTGGTTAGAAGAATGTAGTTGATTGTTACTGTTGGGGTTGATGTCGATCTGCATACACTGCAATGCACTGAATTATGGTCGTGAAGAACTTTGACGAGTGGTCTCTGCTTTGGTTCTCGGTATTGGTGAGCCCAGGAAGCTATCGTCAAGGACTTGGGTTCATCGTATTCGTGCATGGACGGAGAAAGGGGGAGGGGGGAGACGGAGGCTGAGGGGGAGGGGGAAACGGACCGAGGGAGGGAAGGAGAGAAGGGGGGGGGTCCGCTGGTCAGGCAACTGAAGAAAAAGTTTTCGTTGGGTACAAATTGCGTAGTGTAATATAGGTAGTAAAGGTTGAAGAAACCGGCTACGTAAAACATTGTGATATTCAGAGGCGAGAGTCTTGTTGTGACGAGGATCACCCGAGGTAGTTATTACAGCACAAGCATTAGGATGGTAAAAACTATTATTAGCGGAGTGGTGCGTCATCACTAAAGAGGGTCAGGTTATTGACAGTGTTAATGTAGAAAGTAAATGTACTTCTTGGTGTTGCATTTTCATAAAATTACATTCATATAATTTAAATCATTTATTGGAGTGTGTTAAGGTCCAGGAGCTTAAATTTTTACCAGAAATAACTACACTTTCCCATGTACAGTATATAGGTGTTCGCATTATTGATGGTACAGATTGCTTTCACATGGTTACTGTTGATATTCTTTTGTGAAATGGTGGGTTATGTGATTACCTATTTAAAGTAGGTCTGGTGTTGATTGTTGTGTGGTGCCGTGTAAGGATCAAGAGGGGGCTGTTGGCAGACAAGAGACGAGGGCAGCAGTTGACTTCAGCCGAGCTCCACTACTGCGCATATAAAAAAATAACCTTTATGTGAAATGGGGTGACTACCTACTGTACTTCCCCTCCGTAGAAGAAATAAAAGAATAATAGCTTTTATTTTCCTGTCCATTATGTAGGGTGTTTTGTGGTATGATCTCGTCTCCCATGCTCTAACTTTCAACATTTTGTCCCCCCCACTTCCTTACACTTCTCTCCCGTGCTGTTTCCCTCCCTCCTTCACCTCCCTCCCTCAACTCCCTCCCTGCCTCACATCCCACCCCTCCTTCCCCCCATCCCTCCTTCCCCCACCCTCCTTTCCCCCACCCTCCTCCTCCTTCCCCACCCCTCCCTCTTCCCCCCCTCCTTCCCCCACCCCTCCTTCCCCCACCCCTCCTTCCCCCCACCCTCCTTCCCCACCCTCCTTCCCCCCTCCTTCCCCTACCCCTCCTTCCCCTACCCCTCCTTCCCCTACCTCCTTCCCTCCCTCCTTCCCCTACCCCTCCCTTCCCCCACCCCTCCTTCCCCCCACTCCTTCCCCCACTCCTCCTTCCCCCACTCCTCCCCCCCACTCCTCCTTCCCCCCCTCCTTCCCCCCCTCCCCCCCCACTCCTTCCCCCCTCCTCCTTTCCCCACTCCTCCTTCCCCCACCTCCTTCCCCCCACTCCTCCTTCCCCCCCCCCTCCTCCTCCTCCTCCTTCCCCATTCCTCCTTCCCTCCACCTCCTTCCATTCCTCCTTCCCCATTCCTCCTTCCCCATTCCTCCTTCCCCCACTCCCCCCACCTCCTTCCCCCCCTCCCTTCCCCCACCCCTCCCCCCCACTCCTTCCCCCACTCCTCCTTCCCCACTCCTTCCCCCATTCCTCCTTCCCCCATTCCTCCTTCCCCCATTCCTCCTTCCCCACTCTCCTTCCCCCACCTCCTTCCCACCTCCTTCCCCCCTCCTCCTCCCCCCCACTCCCCCCTCCCTCCCCACTCCCCCCACCTCCCCCACTCCTCCTCCCCCCTCCCCCACCCCCCCCTCCTTCCCCCACCTCCTCCCCCTTCCCCCACCTCCTTCCCCCACTCCTCCTTCCCCCCCTCCTCCCCCTCCTCCTTCCCCCCAATCCTCCTTCCCCCACCTCCTTCCCCCTCCCCCCCTCCTTCCCCCCCTCCTTCCCCCCCTCCTTCCCCCCACCTCCTTCCCCCATTCCTCCTTCCCCCACTCCTTCCCCATTCCTCCTCCCCCCCTACTCCCTCCTCCCCCCTCCTCCTTCCCCTCACTCCTTCCCCCTCACTCCTTCCCCTTACTCCTTTTCTTCCTTCCTCCCTCATTCCCTCCTCGCCACTTGCGGTAAATCGGTGACGAAAAAGCACAAGTGGTGCTATTGGCGAGCGGGTCGAGACTTGCTCTGGCACCCAACACTCCGGGGAAATAATTTAAGACGGTCGTGAGAGGGCCACCACGTGATTGGTCGACGCGGAGGTAAATGCACTTTCTGTTATATCGAAAAAGGTTAATTGACATGAACAATTTTCCGAAAGAGAAGGGGAAGAGATGAGGGCTTGTATTTGACATGAGGTGCATTGATGAGTCAATCTCTCTCTCTCTCTCTCTCTCTCCTCATTTTTCTCTCACACTGAGAATTTAGGGTTGAGATAACATTGAATCAAGAGGTTGAGTTACCATGGGACGGTGTGTGTGTGTGTGTGTGGTCCAGGGAGTCGCTGAGAGGTACTTGACTAGCTTGGTAGTGGGTCCTCTAGTGGTGGTGGTTCCTGTAGTGGTGGTGGTGGGTCCTGTAGTGGTGATGTTGGGTGCTGTAGTGGTGGTGGTGGTGGTGGTGGGTCCTGTTGTGGTGGTGGGTCCTCTAATAGTATTGGTGGGTCCTGTAGTGGTGTTGGTGGGTCCTCTAATGGTTGTGGTGGTAGGCTCTGTGGTGGTGAAACTTGTGGTTGTGAAATTTGTTGTGGTAGGTATTGTAGTGGTTATAATTTTGTTGGTGATGCATACTTGTAATGGTGGAGGCGAGTGTGTGCGGGGAGCCTGGGAACACAGGTGTGGCCAGCAGGTCGCAGGTGTTTGGCCGCAACGTCCACACACACACACCTCAGACGACACCGGATGTTTTCACAAGTTTTATTTCTGTTGGTCAGTGTGTGTTGTGTGTCCCTGTGAGTGTGTGGGGCTCTAGGGTGTCCGTGTAACTAGCTGGTGTTGATGACTTGACCGACCTAACTGGAGTGGGTGGTCGGATCGGTGGTTAAATGTGTGTTGTTGTTGTTGTAGGTGCAGGCAACATCGGTACAAGTGTTGGATACCGCGGCAGGTGTGCTAGTTACATCTAAGGCCAGCGTCCGCCTAATACCCCACTTGTGAAGGTTTTCTGCTGTCCGCTGCAGTGTTCCCTCCGCTGATTGTGTTCATTGTAAACAGTGTGTCATTAACCTGTGGAGAGGTAATGCAGTGTGCTGGAGACGGTGGTGCCAGAGTGAGGTGCTTAGTGGTGTTCACGCAACAGTTGTTCATCATCCCTAGGAAAGTGTCACAAAACGCCCTTTGGTTATATTAATCTTCACAATCTTACGGTTTTATCAGTTAACCTTTTCCGCTATAAATTTGTTATTCTCGTTCCAGTAGAACTATATAGTACACCGGTGTCACCCGTAGTGCAGCTTGACAGGAGTCATTTCGTCGCCAAACACCGGCATCACTTGGCTTCAGACCATGACTTATCCTTTCTCTATAGCTCGAAAATCACATTACTTTCTCAAGTTGCCAGAGACAGAACTGCTCATCGGCCTTCGTTAATGAACAGTGTGATGTGGTCACTCAGGCGTGGTCAATCCATGCTATATATTAGCTACTGTGTCACTTAACCTGGACCGAGCTCAGTATTTTGCTGGAGATAGGGCTGTTCTGTAACGTAGGTCAGCAGCGCGTGACAAGTGTCATGGCGCGGCGGCTTGTTTATGTTGTAAACCCGTTTCTTTAGTTACAGTTAAGTTTTTTCTTTGTTATTAACATTCCGTTGTGTTTCAGATACTCTTGTTCGTTACGCTTCCTACCTTCATGTATTCTGTCCCTCCAACTGGTATGTTGAGTACCCCCTGCCTGGCCTCCTTTCTCTTCTTCTCTCACTATTTACCAAGAATTCGTCTTCACATCCAGTAGTACTGTGTGGAAGTGGACGGCGGATTTCCAGGAATTACCGAAAATCACATAAAAACGGATGGCGTTCGTGCTTGGGTAAGAATATACCCTCATGGAGACCGCAGTTTCACCAGCACCTGGTGAACGATCGTGTCGGAAGATGAGGTTCTCTCGGTCGTGATGAGGTGGTGAGAGAAGTTTGTCTTGATGAGATGCGGAGCCGAACTTTTATCTCCATTACGTAGGCAAAGTCCAGCGTGTTGAGGGAGCAGTGGGAGGAACGTCCTGGCACGCCAAGTCAATCATGTACCTGGTGTTGTGACCCCGGCTGACCTCACCTTCCCACACCACCTGAGTGAGAAAAATGGACTTTGTCAATTTCCTTGAACTCTGAAATTTACGCTTGATGGTCTTTGATGTGTGTGGGCGTGCAGAATGAAGTGGTATGTGGGCGTGCAGAATGAAGTGGTATGTGGGCGTGCAGAATGAAGTGGTATGTGGGCGTGCAGATTTAAGTGATGTGTGGGCGTGCAGATTTAAGTGATGTGTGGGCGTATAGATTGAAGTGGTGTGTGGGCGTGCAGATTGAAGTGGTGTGTGGGCGTGCAGATTGAAGTGGTGTGTGGGCGTGCAGATTGTAGTTGTTTGTGGGCAAGAAGATTCAAGTGGTGTGTGGGCTTACAGGTTACAGTGGTGGGTGTGTGGGTGGCTTGGGGCTGAGTGGCAATTAAGCACCCGACCCCATCTTAACGTGAGGCCGTCTTACACTGTTGACCAGTTTGTTGAGAAGTCTCCTGCCCTCACCAGCAGAGAGGAGCGCCTTCAGTTGACAGATGGCGTGCAGTGCTGGAGCAACACACTAATGGATACACCTGCTCCGTGTCCCACATGTTCTTGCCTAAAGTTTCAACTAATCGTCATTAATCTTGTTACTAGTCTTTACTTCTGCATGGAAGAATATTGCTACTAAATCCTTTCACTGTCACTTGTTGGTTTATCATAACTGTACTGCACCCCGGCAGAATACTGTGGTGTACAGTCAACTACTAAAGTCTGTTCGCCTCTCACCCTGAACCACGAACCCGAGATTCATACTCGTGAAACCGATGCAGTAGACTGATACATTATTCTGTCCATAAATGCTTTGGACACACTTGTCTGTATCTCGGGGTTCATGGTTCAGGAGGAGAGGCGAACGGACTTTAGTAGTTGACTGCACCTGATCTGGATGGATTTTAACATAACATTCTCAGGTGCTTTTATCACAGGAACAAGTGGTGGATCTTGGTGGTGATGCGGCAAGACGGGCACCGGTGCCCTTACACTTTTTCTTCTCTGCGTAACATTTAAAGGAGACGGTTCACTCCATAGTTTAATTATATCCACTTATAAAATATCTTGTCGCTGGGATAAAGGTCATATGAAAATGGATAGAAACATTTCCGAAGTCTTTAAAATGTTCATATATTTTTCCTTGTCGTTTCGCACTTCAGTGAATGTAAGTGTATCAGTAACCTGGCTGTTAATATTAGACATAGTAACATTGATGAACGCTTCGTTTCGTACAAGTCTGGAACTTAATTAAATACTTTGTCTATTAACAGAACTTAATGTTGACGTAGACAATATTATTTTATACATTATTTTACATTGAAAAAATTGTATTTACACAGAGCAATAGTGAGGGATAGAGGAGCTTGAAGGAACATATCATGGTATGACTGTCTTGAAGGTTATTATGGTGTCACAATATGGTCCTGATATCAACACCGACACCAGCACGGTTATTGTGATTGCAGATGGTGGTGGTGTTGAGAGTTACAGGTGGTGGTGGTGATGCAGATGGTGGGGGGTGAAGGAAAACAAAGTTTTTGTAGTTGGACAAATTAGACGGAATAGCAGTTGCGTGAACGGCAAATTACCCGGGAGGGAGGTGGAGGTGCATGACTCTTTATTGTGTAGTTTGTGGCGAGTGAACCTGAAGGTGGATCATAAATGTGACATAAAGGGGAGTGATGGTGTCCGTTGAGGCAGGACCTTGTAACGCCATCTTGGTACCCCTTTGGTCACACCCTCTCCCATAACGGCGCACCACTACTAATGGTCAGTATCGAGAAATAACGCGCGCTTTTTTTTTTTTTTTTTATTATAGAAAGGGGGATGAGTTCTTGGCCTTCAGTTGACTGAAAAAAAATGCGATTGAATTAAAGTGAAACTAGATCCGTCGGTGTTGCATGTTGGTTCTTTTGATACATTCTGCAGGAGGGTTGTGGATGCCCTCGCACAGGATGTCTTATCCCATCCTTCCCTGCTACCCTTTTCTTCACCCCTTGGTATCGGCAGTAGTTTCTGGGGGGGCGTCACCACCTCTCAAGCGAGGACCCGAAAACGCGAAATGGAAACTGAGCGCCGGGTTGGAGTTAACGGGGTCGCGTCAAATACCTAGTGGGATGGCGTGTTACCTTTTCTTAGGTGGTTACCTGGTGGGAGTGAGCCGGGGGCTGGGGCAAAGGAAGCCAGCATGCGCAGGGGCAGTTACCAATGGTAATGTTGGCAGCATCGTGGTCCACCACCCGCCGCCACAGTTAACTTGGCCAGCCTCTGGGCTACACTCTTGGCTCCCGCGGTCCTCGTGCCATTGTTGTCAACACTTCTACAATAGGGTATCGACTACCTGTTTTCACGATACTTAATTTTTCTCAATGGTTAGACTATTTTTTACTCTTTCCTGTGTTTTCAAGAGAACCAGTCAAATTGATGTATGTTAGCTATTTCGTTGGTGTTTTGTATCCCTAGAATTATAGCGGGTCAGGAGGCAGGTTAGCATAGCACTCAATTATTGTATACAAGAAAGTGAGTTGAGATTTTTGTCAACATGGATTACTTAGAGACAATAATCGAGTGAGGCAATGCTTCATGGTGGTCAGCGTGGCCTAGAGGCTGTGTGCTGAGCCAGGTCCTCCCTGGACGTTGACGGCGGCAACCGTACCTACAGCTATAGATCACTGAGGGATTATTAGTCCCGTCAACCTAAAAATCTTAAGGTGACGTTGTGGTTAGTCTTGTCTGTGCGATGTGTCCTCAGGTACCCGCCGCACAAAAGCCGCAGTAGATGTTTAAAAAGGAAAGGGAAACTATCATAAAAATTATTTCTGAATTAACTTGAAAATGGCGGATACAAATAGGTGACGAGGTGGTGATAATCATAGTGTTGGTAGTAATAATGGTGGTAATAGTAGTAGTTGTGGTGGTGATGAGTGAGGGGATATGGTGATTATGGTGTTGGTGGTGATATTCGTGGTGTTGGTAGTAGTGGTGGTGAGGGGTGGTGGTCGTGGTGTTGGTAGTAATGGTGGTAATACTAGTAGTGGTGGTGGTCAGCGTTGGCGTGAGATGGCCCAGGACAGTCACATTGCTCACTGAGGTGGAATTCCTTGCATAAATTGTGCTCGGTAAACTGTAGTCTTCACCACCACCAGTCTTCCTTCATAATCTTACTACCCGGCGAACGTCTGAAAATAAAGACTGCTCTAGTTCGTTGCTTTACTAATAAATGTGAGTGAGCCGTCAAAGCGAAGAATTTTAAGCAAGCTAGTTCACTGGGGAAAGCGAATTGTGATTGCGTGTGTTTAATGGGGGGGGGGGGCGGACAGAGCATCTCAGACAAGATTCACTGTTACTCTGTCTTTGACGTTGATCACTCTTCTTATAATTGTGTAAATGGTTTTGGGGTGAGGTGAGCTGAGCTGGACCCCACCTGGCTCTGGCAACGTCCTCACTAAGTTACTGAACAAGTCACCACAACTAAAGACCATGAATACGATTTTTCACATTGAAATTTAAGAAGAGTCCAAAAATTAATTGTCTGACATATTGATGTTTTGGTAAAAAAAATTAAGTTTGAAACGAAATCGACTAATGTTAAGAAATTAGTGAGCGGGAATGACCACACGTGGTCCACATTTCCGAAATGGCTTTAGTTGTGGCGGAACTGTTAATGTGTTGGACGGCATATAACATTCTCTAGTGCCCATCATAAATTCAAATACCTTGATGAAGTTTACGTTGTGCAGATTAAGTCTAGTTTTTAATTTATTGTGGGCACTAACGTGTTAGGTTGTAGCATTACTTGTGTTCTCTAAATATTCATGATATATATAAGTTTAATGTTGGTGTAAATGATGCAATTTTGGTTGTGGGTTGTACTCGACTCTCTTAATATTCCCAGATTTTCTTCATCATTTTGGAGAATGTGTTAAGTGTGATGTTTTTGTGATGTAGTATTTGTTGTTTACACTAAATAAAATTCATAAGATAAGGTAGAAAAGTATAATGCACGCACAGGCACCAGTCAGAGGAACATGGTGGATAGTGGCCAGCTTATTGACAAGTGAACTGATCCTTCCATTAGTTTTGGGAGTTACAGTACCAAGATCACCGAAATACGTTGTGGTTCACGCTCCAGGACTCTGCCTTGGCAAGATGCGAGGATTAACCCGACTCCAGACAATTTTGAAACAATGAATGATAAGAAGCCAGCAGTGGTGTGCAAGCTGTGCACACGATGCACCTTGTTAGGACGTTAAGAAATGTAAAAAAGTGACAATTGACTGTTCTAATGATGGCTCCTGGACTATTGTAAAACAGTTGAATGGCTTTTGTGAAAGTAATAGTCGAGAATGAACTTGTATCCACCGTTCGTCACAGTTGACCAGGGTAGAGGGTGTTCACCATCAGCACGATTTCTGCACAGTCCCGCACATTTCTCAACTCTTAATAACAGTAATTTTGTTTGCCTCCGCAGGGACCAAGAGTAACACTTACTGAAGGATCACTCGTAGTGAGGTGTGCCACACACACACACACACCTCCTGTACAGTAAACAAGAGCACATTAACGTGAGGCTGTGACCCAAAGAAGTGAACGTGCTCCCTTCAGGAGTGTAAAGATATTGGACCGAATTAATTTTGTCGGCATATGATAAAAAGGAATCCTCTGTGACGTGAAAACCAGAACTTGTACGGTGGTGCGTGAAGATCAGAGAGTAGCAGCAGGGCGTGTTGAGCCACAAGGGAGGCGTGTAGGGCGTGGCGATGGATCCCGCAGACATCAACACCCACCCGGACAACACTGCCGACGACCACGACCACACCCTCACCAATGGCGACGGCGAAGGGTGAGTGTGGGGGGGCTAGCTGGGGGTCATTGAAGAATTTGAGTGTATAGAGGGATGGCGAGCCTGTACGTGCGTGTGTGTGTGTGTGTGTGTGTGTGTGTGTGTGTGTGTGTGTGTGTGTGTGTGTGTGTGTGTGTGTGTGTGTGTGTGTGTGTGTGTGTGTGTGTTTTGTGGAGTGGGTGTGGTGGAAGAGGAGTGAGGGTATATGTGGTGTAGGTGTTAGGCTTGGTTCTGTGTATAACACAGCTGCTGTGGCTTGCTTGCATGCATCTCTCACACGCACACATACACAGCTAGCACTTGCCACAGGTGTGACTGACCATCGTTAAGAATGGGATTTGGAAGCGGCCTTCGATAACATACAGACGGAGGAGGGAAGTGGGTAGATGTTATGGGAGCACTGGTAGGCAGCTTCGACACGTGAGAGTCTTGGTGGAGGAACAGGCCACTTAGCCAGTGATGGGGAGAGTGTGAGTGAGGGCGAGTGGTCGTGGATACACAAGTGATTAGAGGATTTGTGGGAATTAAAGTGCCGGGAAGCATGTAGCAGTAGTATTAGGGCGTGTAGGCGACAGGGTGATGGTGAGTTTCATACTGTAGCAGAAACACTACAGACTTGTCAAGGTGTGGGTTTTGTATCTGGGAAAGTGGGTGTACGTGCAGGGAGCGTGTGTTGTGGGTTTGGGGACACATGTCCTTGTACTGCATGGGTATGGAGTGTACTGGCTTGGATTTGAGTAATTGTGAGTGTCGAGGGTGGTGTGTGGGCTTGAGAATGGTGTGGATGGGTACCTACACGCGTGGGTGTGAAGTGAGTGTGATGCGTGTGGGAAAGGGTGGTGGGTGTTGCGTGTGTTTGGATGTGGTGATTGTATTAGGAGTAGTGCATGTGTAGGGGTGTGATGAATGTGTTTGTATGTGTGGGGAGTATATGTGTGGGTATGTTGGGTGTATAGAGAGGAGTAGCGGTGGGCACGGATGGAGGGCGTCGCACCACTTACTACCCTTGTTCCACACACTGGCTCACAAGTCACTGTCCGTCACACAACCTCTTACACACACGCTTAACCTGTACTATACTACTGCATTGTCACGTCCTCAAGTGTCACTTTGTCACGAATCCGCAATAAATATGCCATCACAGAAGCAGCTTCACTATGTCCTGTATAGATTACGACTGGTTATTAAATAGATTTATAATATAATGATCTCTCCCATATTCGGCATTATCATATATTTTGCTTTTCAGTGAGGCATTGGCAGCGCCGACTTCAGAAAATGCTATTCCTTTACTCCTCCAAAGACAATATATTTTGCATAGTTTTGTTATTCGAAAGTTTGGTGCTGGGGTTCGCTTGTGGTGAGTCTATTGAGAGATAAAAGCTGACTATAGGTATCTTTATCAGACCTCAGGTTACCGGGCTTGTGGCATATCCTCCCTACCATAACTAAACTCTTGGAAGTGTTATATATATATATACTGTTAGTGTTGACTAGTATTAAAGAACAACTTTTAATGATGCTTCAATATATACTGTGTTTAAGTACTGTAGGTGTAACCCTGTATAACACTGGTGAGATCTTCTTGTACAGTTCATCACCTGCCTAGCTTTCCTCAAGTGTCCTATCCATTGGTATTAGTTCAAGTAGTTTCATATGTCTTCATATTTTCAAATCAAAATTTAGTTCATTGGAAACAGTATTTTTCAGTTCTCTAAACGGAATAGTTTTCTAGCTAAGAGAACTGATAGTTTGATAAGTGCAGTGCTCGTAGGCGGGTTCTGCTGTAAACCAGGTTCTCTCATGTGCTCGACTTTACCTTCTTAATGGTCTAGCCGCTGTTTCCACGAGCTACGAGGATTCTTAATACCATGTCCATGTGCTTCTGGGTGTCACGTTTTACAAAACCTGTTGGTCATCGCGAAATTGTACAGAACTTACAGTAATCTCGGTCATACAAGTTTGCCATAGGTGTTATTGTTGCTCAACATAATGTATGTTTTACTGACAGATTTAATGCTGATTATATTCGTTCAAATAGGTGAAGGTCTGGGCAGACAGGACTAACGTCTTGGTCCACAATACACATCCAGGTAACAAGAGTAACAGTGTGTGTGGGTGACAGAGCTTACTGTTCCTCCGGGTCCTGCTGCAGTGGCGATATCACTAAAGGATGAAGTAAGATTAAATTCATTATTAAATCTTATGTACTGGATGTGCTGGCAGTCTTGATTTTACGTAATGCCGCGGAGGTATTTCTTTCGGGTGTTAATTGGGGTATGTGATAACTCGCCCAACTCATCCATTCTTAAAAAAAATGGATGAAACACACTAAGATAGCCATGGTACCTCTTACCATTGCCACCACTAGCACGGAGCGACTGAGCCCTTCTTAGGTGTACAACTGTCTTAAGGGAAAACCAGAAACACAGGCCATCGTGGAGTGTCGCCAAGGATATTTAGGGGCCTTCCACTTACTTATTCACTACATGGGAGAATCTGGGCTAATATTTGTTTAGAAGAGGTATGGCAAAGATGTCTCCATACCCCTCCTGTGGTGCAGAAGAGGGAGAGGGGACTGGCACCAAGACCATTTATGACTGTGGTGGTGGGGACAAGAGGTGTGTGGTGGTGGTGGGGGGACAAGGGTGGTGGTGGTAGTGGTGGGGACAAGGGGTGTGTGGCGGTGGTGGTGTGTGGTGGTGGACAAGGTGTGTGGCGGTGGTGGTGGGGACAAGAGGTGTGTGGTGGTGGTGGTGGGGACAAGAGGTGTGTGGTGGTGGTGGTGGGGACAAGGGGTGTGGTGGTGGTGGGGACAAGGGGTGTGTGGTGGTGGTGGGGACAAGAGGTGTGTGGTGGTGGTGGGAACAAGAGGTGTGTGGTGGTGGGGACAAGGGGTGTGTGTGGTGGTGGTGGTGGGGACAAGGTGGTGGTGGTGGTGGTGGTGGTGGTGGTGGTGGGGACAGGGGTGTGTGGTGGTTGTGGGGACAAGGGGTGTGGTGGTGGTGGTGGGGACAAGGGGTGTGTGGTGGTGGTGGGGACAAGGGGTGTGTGGTGGTGGTGGTGGTGGGAACAAGAGGTGTGTGGTGGTGGTGGGGACAAGGGTGTGTGGTGGTGGTGGGGACAAGGGGTGTGTGGTGGTGGTGGTGGGGACAAGGGGTGTGTGTGGTGGTGGTGGGGACAAGAGGTGTGTGGTGGTGGTGGTGGTGGTGGGGACAAGTGTGTGGTGGGGTGGGTGTGTGGTGGGGACAAGGGTGTGTGGTGGTGGTGGGGACAAGGGGTGTGTGGTGGTGGTGGGGGACAAGAGGTGTGTGGTGGGGACGAGGTGTGTGGTGGGGACAAGGGGTGTGTGTGGTGGTGGTGGGGACAAGGGTGTGTGGTGGTGGTGGTGGGGACAAAGGGGGTGTGTGGTGGTGGTGGTGGGGACAAGGGGTGTGTGGTGGTGGTGGGGACAAGGGGTGTGTGGGGTGTGTGGGGACAAAGGGGTGTGGTGGTGGTGGGGACAAGGGTGTGTGGTGGTGGTGGTGTGTGGTGGTGGTGGTGGTGGACAAGAGGTGTGTGGTGGTGGTGGGTGGTGGTGGTGGACAAGGGGTGTGTGGTGGTGGTGGGGGGACAAGGGGTGTGGTGGTGGTGGGGACAAAGGGGTGTGGTGGTGGTGGGGACAAGGGTGGTGGTGGTGGTGGGTGGTGTGGTGGGGACAAGGGGTGTGTGGTGGTGGTGGGGACAAGGGTGTGTGGTGGTGGTGGTGGGGACAAGGGGTGTGTGGTGGTGGTGGTGGTGGACAAGGGTGTGTGGTGGTGGTGGTGGACAAGGGGTGTGGTGGTGGTGTGTGTGGGGACAAGAGGTGTGTGTGTGGTGGTGGTGGGGACAAGGGGTGTGTGGTGGTGGTGGGGACAAGGGTGTGGGTGGTGGTGGTGGACAAGGGTGTGTGGTGTGTGGTGGTGGGGACAAGGGGTGTGTGGTGTGGTGGTGGGGACAAGAGGGTGGTGTGTGTGGTGGTGGTGGGGGGACAAGGGTGTGTGGTGGTGGTGGTGGGGACAAGGGTGTATGGTGGTTGGTGGTGGGGACAAGAGGTGTGTGGTGGTGGTGGTGGGGACAAGGGGTGTGTGGTGGGGACAAGGGTGTGTGGTGGGGGACAAGAGGTGTATGGTGGTGGTGGTGGGGACAAGAGGTGTGTGGTGGTGGTGGTGGGGACAAGGGGTGTGTGGTGGGGGTGAGGGGGGTAGTGGTAGTCTGTGTACAGGGATTCGCGCTCGCTTATACAAAGTTTTAAAGAAGAACTGAGGATTATTTTTTTTTTTCACGACTCCCAAGAAAAGTATAAGGTGGTATGATCCCTTATTGTGTGGCCAGGGTACAGAGACGCGAAGTGTGGCCAGGGTACAGAGACGCGAAGTGTGGCCAGGGTACAGAGACGCGAAGTAAAGTTCCAGGGTGAAGTAGGTCAGGTCAAGGTCAGGCGGCCGCTTACAGACGCTCCAAGACTGGCCTAGTTCCGGCCAAGCTGAAGATGTGGCTTGGCACTACCTTCCCCCGTGTCCCACAAGCAACTTGATGAATGCGTCTCGGACTTAAAGGTGTAGGCGTTAGAGAGGCGTAGTCGACACATGTGGTGTTGCAGTGATGGACTCTCCTAAAATGTTGGTTTGCTGGCAGATATATTGGTGTTCTGGACACTCTGTAAACACAGGTCGCCCAGGATAGTGACATGGGAGGATAGAACGGGATTTAGAAGGAAATAGTGCTCTTTGACAGATGATTGAAAAAATATGAAAGAATACGTAGTTTTGTGAAATGCTAGGTGTTGTGAGCGCGCCCCCTCCCCCTTCGGCGGGTCGATACGGGGTCGTCGGCCCCTGCCGTGGCTCGCTTGCTCTCTCTTTTTCTCTCTCTCCCTCTCTTTCTCTCTCATTATCAACTAATAACTTGAGAATGAAAAAAAAATATATTGAAAAATAAAAAAAATGGTCTTGCCTTGGTTTAAATTAAAGAATAGAGTT